AATGGGAGGCTCGGCCGGCGGGGGCGGGGGCCGCGCAGCCGGGGACTTTCAGGAACTGCGGGGGCGGGCGGCGGCTGGAGTCTCCAAGCGCCCAGCCGCGGGCCTGAGCAACGACACTCGGGGCCGAGGCGGAGCCGCCGCCGCGCCGGGGCCCAGCCGTCGCCGTCGCCACCGTCCTCGCGCGCCCGCCCGGCTTGGGCCGACCCGCCGCGGCGCGGGAGACGAGCCGGCCGTCCCGGGCCGGGGGACCCGCCCGCCATGGCCACCAAGGTGAGGGGCGCGCGGAGCAGGCCCGGCCGGCCGCTCGGCCCACGGCGGCGCGGGGAGGGTCGGGGGCGCGGGCGGCGGCGGCCCGAGGAGGCCAGGAGGGCGCTCGGCGGGACCCAAAGCCGGCCCGCGGCCCAGCCAGCCCCCTCCGGCGTGGCGGCGCGGTGAGGCGGGGGGCAGCGGGGCTGGTCGAGACCCCCGGCGGCGCGGAGCGCGACGCCGCCTCAAAGTTTGCGCCTGGGCGCGGGCGGCGGCGGGAGCGGGGCGGAAAGTTCCCGCAGCCCCGGAGCGTCTGGGAGTCGCCCGCCGCCGCCCCGGAGCCCGGCCCGCGCGGCCGGCCCCCCGCGCCCCCGCGGCTCCGCGCTTTCTGTTTTGCTGCCTTTTCGGTTTGAATGGCACTGCCAGCGCGAATCGGTACCGAGAGGGAAATGACTGTGCTTTCGGTTAGGTGCCCGCTCGAAGAAGGGCCCAGGCCCGAGTTACGCGGGGGACTTGGCTCCCGCGCGGCCGGGAGTTGTGCCTGCTCGTTCTGTGACTGCGTGTGAAGGCGGGCGCCCGGGCCGCCGTGCTCCCGGGCCGCCGGGCCGCCTTCCCCCCTTCCCCCCGCGCCGCCTTCCCCGGCGCCGCTCCCGGGGCGGTTTTCCTGCCCCAGCCGCGGAAGGGGGACCGGGTAGGCGGCGCGTCCCGGGCTGCGGCCGGCCCGCGGTGCGGGCTGGGCACGTCGTTTCTGGGAGGCCACTTTTATAAACATGAGCACCCTTTTCCATATTTGTTTTTGAAACATCTAAGCGACTTTTGGGTTGGTGAGAACCGGGTGTGTGTTGTCGGAGGGCGTTTGATGGAGACAGGAATTGTCGGTGACTGCGGAGCTTGGAGTTGGTGCCAAGGTCTGGGTCTGGTCCGCGAGTGCAGGCTGTTTAGAAAGGAGGGCTCTCGGAACCTGTTGCTTCTGTCGCCGAAATAATTACCTTGTTAATATATTTTGAGTGTGGCGTTCCTGGGTTTATTAGATTGATAGAACTTGCCAACTTTTAAACATAATGATTTTGTGTCGACCTTTTTAATAAAAAAAAAATTAACGCAAGCCAAAGATTTCAAAGGGAATTTTGATTTTGAGGTTTGTTGCCACTTACACATCCTACTTCACAGTTGTCTTGCGACCTTAAGAGTGGTTTGTGACACAGAGGTCTGGTTTGTGCTGTTTCCCACCTGCCTCTTCTGAGGCACCAGTGTGTGCTTTAGGTAGGATACAGCTTAGCAACTGCAGGTGCTGAGTTTTATTTGATGGTGAAGTCTGAGCTTAGTTTTTTCATTAAATTAAAAAGGACTCTGATTCTTGTACCCAACTTGAAATGAATATGTCCTCACTAAGCACAAGCCTCACAGCATTTCTGAGTTCTTCCTACTTTTGTTATCTGTGCTACTCTGAAGCAAATTCCAGACTTCTGTTAGGATCTCAGCTTTCTAATCACGTTTCTACCTGGTGCTCAGTTTCCCTGTTTACAGAGTGACAAACCATTGCTATTTGAAGAAAAAGACCAGCAGTGAAGCATTTATCAAGAGGACACTTCCTCAAATTTGGGTTTTGTTTTGTTTGGTTTCCCTACTGTCTGGTGATTCTCTGTCAAATCAAAAGTTCTCTCTGTTCTTTGTTTCTGTACTGGGGAGTGAACCCAGGTATGTTTTACCTCTGAGCCACATCCCCATCCCTTATTTTTTGTTTTGACACAGGGCCTTGCACAGTTGCTGAGGCTGGCATCCAACTTGTGATCCTCCTGCCTCACCCTCCGGAGTAGCTGTGATTAAGGTGTGCACCACCTCACCAGGCTGTCTAATTTTTCAATTGTTCCCAGAGAGTAAAGGTGTCACTGTTGGGTTCCTCAGCCCCTCTATAAGCACACCCTTGTCCTTCCCCACATCTGAGTAGTTTGATTTCTTTTCCTTCCTGTTCTTTATTTGGAATATTCTTAGTAACCAATGACCACTAACTTGTAATAAAAATTTCAGGCTCAAATGGCCCTTAGGCTCTTGCTATAAGTATTAAGAAGTGATGAGATATATATTCAGTATCTGAATATTTGAGGTCATGTTGGGTTTCGCTTTGAATTTACCAGAGAATGACTTCAGTTCATTTTTTTTTTTTTTTTTAATTCTTACAGGTTGTTTGAAAGGTGCAATTATCTTCAATCATGGGTTTTAAAAATTCTTTCTATATTCACAATAGAAAATTTTCTTTTAAAAGAATTTGAATTGGATGCTGGGGTTGTGGCTCAGCGGAAGAGCGCTCACCTAGCATGTGCGAGGCACTGGGTTCGATCCTCAGCACCACATAAAAATAAATAAAATAAAGGTATTGGGTCCAACTACAACTAAGAGAAAATTAAAATAAATAAAGTTTCTTAAAAAATAATTAGAATTGGGTCATTCGTCACTATTGAAGATAGGTAATCAGTAACTGCACATTTTAAAAGGATTATCTGTTTTTTTGTTTCTAATCTTTCCTTGTAGAATGCTGAATTCAGTTTAAATGCATACACCACTCTGTGAAGTCCAGTCTTGTCTCATTTAGAAAATACAGTGAAAGGCTGATAAGAATGTTTTAGTCTTGTCCTCTGTTGCAAGCCCCTGAAGTTTATGTTTTGACACAGTCCTATGGTGAATTTGGGTAAATTTAAGTTTTGTTTTAAAAAGACCAAGTTGAGAAAGAATTCATTTTCTACATATATCAAAAGGGACTTAAGGAAAATAGTTGCAGTTATCCATATCTGTGTAACTTAGCTGTCATTTCCACGTCACAGTTAACCTTTGGTAACTAATTTAGGTCCTTTGTGCTTACAGAATCACTTTTAGAAGTAATCATTCTAATGAGTTTTTTTGATACAACATTTTTTTATACCTTTATTTTATTTATGTGGTGCCAAGGATCAAACCCAGTGCCTTGCGCATGCTAAGTAAGCAAGTACTCTACCACTGAGCCCCTCTAACCAGATTCTTGAAGTTCCTGATACCTTTTTCTTCTTCCTTCCTTCCTTCCTTCCTTCCTTCCTTCCAGAAAATGCCTTTCCAGCTCCACTAACTAAAGTTACACATGTGCATCTTACAGCCCTGGTTGAATTAAGGGTGTGTGGAACCTTGAAATTCTGGTAGGAAAGGAGTGAATTCCTTAGGTGCAGGTGTATGAGAACAGTTTTGAAAGCATATGTTGTAATTTCTCCCAAGCAGAAACCTCTTTATTTGAAGAAAAGAATAGAAGACTCTTTATAAGGGAAGTTTAAGGATATATATATATATATATATATATATATATATATATTTTTTTTTTTTTTTTTTTTTACAAATAGCGTGGAAGATGCTTACTATACAGTTTTGTGTGACAGGTTTGTTTTTTTTTTAAAAACTCTTTTTTAAATTTCAGTGTGCTAGGAATTGAACCTAGGGCCTAGCACATGCTCGGCAAGCACTGTACCACTGAGATACATTCCCAACCCTTTCTAAAAATTTTAATTAATTTATTTAGAAGAGTCTTGCTAAACTGCCGAGAATGGTCTTTGACTGTTAGTGCCTTGACTTTTCTTATCACTGTTCCACCTGGTGCTCATTTCATGTTTATAGAGTGGCAAATCATTGCCATTTGAAGAAAAAGACTAGCTCCACTAAGTAAGTTACACGTATGCAGACACAAACTACCACATAGCTGCCAGCAGTAGCTGGAATTACAGGCACCCTGCCCAGTTTAACAATAATTTTAAAAAAATGTCTTAAATAGAATGTTTAGCATTTATATAGAGAAAAATTTGTATAGAGAAAAATTCTGAGACAATGAAATTTTTTCTTAATAAAGAATAGAAGACATAATTTTTTAAAAATTAGAGCTATATATTAAACTTATTTGGGCTCATCCTGACAAACTCATCTATGCATGGAATTTGATTTCAGTTCACGGTTCCCCACTTCAGAAACCATGCACTTTTTAACTGCACCATTTTTATATTAAGCATATAAATTACACTTTGCCTTTGAGTGCCCCCTCATAACTCTATAGCTTTGCATGCACACTTCCTTTCTGGTCTGAACTGCTGTTTTCTGCCATCTTCTAGGTACCCCTTCTTACACATTAGCCCAAGGTACCACTTCCTTGGGAAAGTCTTTCCTGATGTCCCCACACCTATTACAGGGTCATCTGGCCAGGCTGTTAGTTACATTTGTTTCTGTGACTACTGGCTGCCTCCTTCGGGATGCATTCAGCCCCAGGAGGCTGGGACTGTGTTTGCTCACCTTTGTGTCCTCAGGGACCTGTTTGAAAGAGCAAAAAGAGATTCCAGCGAGATAATGACTCATATACTAATGATAAAAGAACTTTAATCTCCAGCTGTAGGTTTTGGTTCTTTTAATTGTGTGTTTCAGTGAAAAATTTTTAAGTATACATGCCCAATGCAAAATTCACCTGCAGCGGAATGTATTTTAAAATGTAAATAATTTAGCCTTACTAATGATTACATGAGAAATTATGTTTCAAGGTGTTTGAAACTAGCCTCACACTTCTGAGAATTTAAGAAGGTTGTTTTTAACTCCTGAGTGTCAGGAGTGTGCTTAGTTTTCTAAAGTGCCATCTGTGTGCAGCCCTGTGGAAGTCACCTGCCATGTCAGTAACATGAACTGGAAATGTGGTTAGTGCAACTGAGGAACTGAGTTCACTTTAATTAAAATAGTTATAGGTGGTTAATGGCTACTGTTTTGAAGGATGCAGTTTTAGAAATTCTCAACCATCATTTTATGAAAATTGCCTTATCTCCATTCTCTCTTTCTGGAACTCTTAATTGGCATGAAAAGGCCCAAAGGACATGCAGCCTCCCATCTCACTGTCCTGTTTTCTTTGTGCTGCATTCTGGATGACTTCTTTGGCCCTTACCTACAGTTCAGTATTCTTCAGTCAGGCCTAATCTGTTCTTTTACCCATCCTTAATTTTTTTTTTCAGTCGTATTCTATTTTTGGAAATTATGTT